GTTAAATCCTGCTCCACATCTGAAACATTTGAAGCGTTAAGTTGTTAAATACTTCTTGACTCTTCAGGTCTTTAGTGATTACTTCATATTTAGAAGAAACAACTGAGTGTGCACACATCCAAGCAAAATGCATACAGGTGCAGGAAAAAAGAATGATGACCTGTAGAAAAAGAGAGAGGTCTGCTCACTGTTCAGCTCCCAATGAGCAACTTTATTAAGGGCAGCGTTTGGATCCTTGCCCTTAATACTGTTGCTCATTGGCAGCTGAACAGTGAGTGGACCTGTCTCTTTTATTTATGATGACTTTATATTTCTCAAATTATTTCTAAATTCTGCTCAAATTTATTCTAATGCTTTAAAACAGTTGACTGAGAATAAAGTTATCAAAGTTAAGTCTCAAAAAATGTACTTCATTTAACTATTTCTTTAAGTGTTTTTCAGTCAGGTAATCTAAATAGATCAAACTAAATACTTAATATTTTCATCAAACCATTGAAATATTTGTTGAGAAACTTGTTGATGCTGAAGGTTCACCTGAAAATAAAATCTCTAACCAGAGAGAGTCGCTTCAACAGAAGTTCAAAGTTCACTCATTTTGTGCCATGTGCGTCCAAGAATCACCATCCTCAGTGACGAACGGCGGGCCACCGAGGTGTATGGACCAATCATGGATACAGATACTTTTCTGTTAACCATCTTGGTGGTTTATTGACCCAGTAACAGGCAGCCACACACAGAGTCTGGAGAGAGCAGTGGTCTTATAGAAGGAGATGGTATGGTGACTGAGAGGGACTTGGACAGAGGCCCTGCTAAAAGATCATATCTCACTATTTGAGTGGACCTACTGGCTAGCAAACTGTCACAAAGATGTCCTTTGGGAATATTAATTAAGGACACAATGCATAGATACTGCTTGTAGGAACCCCACCTCACCCTCTCTTAAACCCACCTTGTGCAGGTATTCTGTTTTGGTGTTCATGTTGAAATGAATAAGTACTTAATCTTAGAGATCATTCAAAAACATGTTTTATATGGTTAACTCCTCTTGGAGACTCTTATTTTAAGTTTATACTTTTGTTTTCAAAATAACATGCAAGGGTCACGACTGTGAAACACAGTGAAATCTTTAAATCTCCTTTTTGCTATTCCTTTCAAAGAACACTAAAATTCTTAAATTTTCTAAATAGAGAAAGTTGTGTATGAAGCAAAAAGTCACTATCTTTTTAAAATTTTGAATAAGTGTGGAAAACAGATGGTTGTCATGATGAGTGATTTCGATTCATTAAAGGGGCTATATGTAACTTTCAAAAATACTGCGATTGTAGCGATACCGCATGGCCGTTAGTGAACTGCACAAGTAACCTGTTGCTCACTCTCCTCGCGTGCTCGTATACGTGGTCGTACGTATACAAACAAGCATCATCATCGGCTGCGAAACACTGGATATTTACCGGCATAATGTTTACAGAGGAGGTAAGCGGTCATACACATGTGAAAGTCTGTGAAGAGTCTGTGTGTCTGTATTCATTCTCCATCCTACAAACACAGTCTCAGCATGCACTGGCTGAGAGCAGGAGTGTGTGATGAGTTGTCCACCTTTGCGAGCTCTAGGCAGATAGAAGTGTGGGAAGACGGCCTCTGGCTGTGGAGGTGAAGACCGGGGGGTGTGTGATGAGTTTGTACTGTTGATCTCTGTAAGCGGACAGAGTGAGGAGGACGTTGAGAACGTGCATAAAATGCTTTTTGCAGAAAATACGACCCGGGGAAAAAATGTATACAGGCAACACAGATAGACAGTGAATATCTACTTTTTCACATCAGTTAACCGTTTGCTTAATAATGGGCGATAAAAAATGATATATACATGTATGTAAAAGTTACATATAAACCTTTAATGTTTCACTAAAGTTTAATAGCTCTTTATGTTTCAGATTTACAAGGTCACAAAGAGCAATAATAAATGGTTAATATGGTTAAGTAATGCTTATTTAGAGCATCAATAAATGGTTAATTATGTTTAAGTAATGCTTATTCAGAGCATTAATAAATGGTTAATTATGGTTAAGAAATGCTTATTTAGAGCTTAATCATGGTTAAGTAATGTTATTTGGAGCATTAATAAATGGTTAATTATGGTTAAATAAGGATTAGAGCATTAATAAATGTTTAATTAATTAGATGTTTGATTAATAATGTATTAATTAATACCCTATTTAACATGACATCCTTAATTAAATTACTAGACACATTAGTTAACTTTTAGTAACATTAGTTAATGCTTAATAATGCACTAACTAAAGTTAATTAATGTACCCTTATTGTAAAGTGTGACCGTGATGTATAAATAATGTTGAGTTGAGTTTGGTTGAATTGAAAAGTGAAGCCATTAAGAAAGGAAAATAAGTTTGTGTTTGGATAAATCACTCAGAGTAAACTTCATTTAATTTATCCTCCAAAGAACTGCAACAATACTTATTGTTACATGTGATTCGGTCAGATACGATTATCTGCCCTTCTGAGCTGCTGAAGCAGAATTAGACTAAACAGTGAAGGGTGAGCTTTGTGTTTTTAATAAGAGTCCAATCCTCTCTCAGATAAGTCCAATCCTCTCTCAGATATGAAACTCTATTTTTTAAAGTGTTCACATCTGATGATCATCACTCGGTCAGCTGGTCTGATTCGTCTTCAGTGTGTGTGTGTGTGGGGGTGTGTCCAAACATGCACACCCTGATAGTCATCACAAACACTTTTCTCCTGGAGTGTTTTCAACTCTTCCTGTAGAGTCTGGGTGTCGGTCTTGTTCTGTAAATGATTTCAACAAGCCTGATTTCATACCAGAAGTATGTCAAGGGTTGTTCTAACTGTTTTAGATCTAATTTCCTGTCTGCAGGTGAAGTTAATGTAGTCTCAGTCTCTTCTCTCTTTTTAGATGACTAATGTTATTTTTTAAATTGTGCTGCTAAACTACAACTCTGAGCTGTAATGTGTGCGTTCAGGAACACTTCTTATATCAGCCCATCACAATGTCCACCCCATAAAGGCTTTAAAGTGAAATAAAGTCATCAGCCCTAAACAAACATTCCTGCAGATATGAACCCACTTATAAGAGCAGGTTTTTATTTTTACACACGTGTTAAGGATAGTTCTAAATCTGGACCCAAACGCACGACTCAGGCAAGTAGGCAGAGTTAAACAGGTATTTAATGAACAATGTGACTCAAATGTGCAACGGGGACAGGACGCCTCTCCCCATACGATGAATACGTGCTTGCGTAGGGCCTCTTAATTAATGAGGGGCCTCTATTGGGAGAATTGCACTTCTTTTTTTCCCTTATTTTACGTGCAGACAGCTCAGCAGCACATGTCAGTAATATGTCAGCTGGCGGAAAGAGAGGAGACCTATGCTGTCCGTTCTGTCATTTGACACTGCAAGCACGCATCACTTACGTGACCAGTCAACTTCTGACCAATCAGAGACGAGAAGTGAATTCATGGAAGCAACCCATCCGGGTACTTTGCCCAAACGAGGCCAGCCCCGCCCCTTTCTGGTTGAAATCATTCCATCTGAATGAATGGCGGTTAATGGAAAAGTCGGGGTCTTTACCGATTTAAAAGCTTAAAATGTGAAAAACGTACTTTAAAACGACAAGTATGAGCCTAAACCTGATGACCAGTGATGTTAACGTTTAAAATATGACATTTGTGAACAGAGATCAGCGCCATAACGTTATAAAATAAACACAATTAAAGGTGTACATGAGTGTCTGTTCAGTCTCTCTCCGTCAAACTGGTCAAAAAGCACATCCTGTGATCAGAGGAAACTGACATTAAACACCTGATGAGTAATTATTAATCGTGTTACCCGAGAGGGATCTTCACTTTTAAACAATATTTATTTGTAATAGTTTCTAACAGTGTTCATAGCTGCAATAGAGAGGTTATAGACATTTATTTTAGAGAAAATAGGACATAAACTCTGAGTTATCAGCTGATTTAGAAAAGAATAACACATGTAAAGTCACCTGGATGAAATTAAAACCTTTTGTATTCATACGTGAGTGTAAATAAGGATGAGTGGGGTGAGACGAGGAGGTTAGTGAACTTTTTATTTTGACATTAGATTTGGTGGTGTTCCTTAGTTATGAGACATTTTTCACCAACATATTTGTTATACAGTTGAAACATTGTTAATACGTTAGTGAATGTGTGAAGAACTGTTAACAGACTTCTCTTCTGTCATGGAGCGATCGCTGCCTTAAAGGAACACAACAGCTGCCCACGATTTTACCACTTTAATCCTCTCTAGTTTCAGTCAAACACACAGAGCTCTTCTTTTACCCTCCTTTGTCCTTTGTAGATGAAAACCTGATACTAAATTGTGTTTTTAAAATAGTTTGAAGTACAAAAAGCTACACAATGGTGTTTAATCGCCCAGCGACCAGTGTTTTCTAATCTACCGCCGATACATTCTCAGAGCTTGTTTTCACCCAAACGGGGTGGTTGCTCTTATGAATAGATGTTGAAAGCTTTGTCAGCTTAAAAACCTCACCTGTACAAGAGGAAAAACGTGTCTGGTGTTTGTGCTGACAAATGTTTTACAGCCTATTAATTTAAGTTTTTGGTTAATTTTGGGAGCTACATTGTTGCCATCTACTGGGGTGTTTAGTACGTAACCGTCACAGCTCATGAGGTTATTTTGCAGAGAAATGTAGATTAAAAAAAAATGAATTAGCATGTTTTCTATTTGTGCGTATAAAGATTGGAAGACAGACATGATAGATATTGTAGTTTTCATTATTATTAGAGGTTTTTGTTTTTTAATCTTTTTTTCCCCCCCATTGTGTTTAATAAAGACTATAATAATAAACATTAAAGTTATAGTATTATTTTATAAATTATAGTAATTATTATACTACATTGTTATTAGTAGTAAAAGTAGTAGCATTAAATCCATTTCACTCTTTTTGAAGATAGTATTTTCATAATTTCCTTTAGTGAAGTCTGCTTTAAGATGGTTTTATTTCAGATTTCTTCTCATAACAGGGTCAATGCTAAAATGTGTGGAGGAGATGCAGATGATTCATCAGCAGGCCCAGAGGCAGCAACCAGCAGGTCTAGTATAGACACATCACACAGCAGTTGTACAGACGCAGCATCCTGCACATTACCACCATTGTCAAAGTTACAATTTGTTCTTACAAATAAAGGTTGTTAAGTTAAAAAGACATTTTGTAATGGACTTGTTATTTAGGTGCTCCAATAACTGTGTGTTGGCCCGTGGGGGACCTCCTTAACACATTTTGCTTAGGGCCTCACCCTGACCAGGGGCAGTCCTGGGAGGGCTAGTGCAGTGTCCCAGGATCCAACGTGGCAGGTGAGTAGACGAGTGACTGTGGCAGTGTTCTGTGAATCCCAGTTTGTCGTCCAAAAGGTGCACAGGAGAGCAAATGGCAGGCAAGCAGTGAAGAGAGCACAGGAGCACAATGCAAGTAAGGCCATCTGAGGCAAGGCAGAGAAGACAAAAGGGGGTTAGCTAAACAAGCTATAACAACGAGGAACAATAATCACAGAGGAGCCAAGATCGTACGATACCACACGAGCTGATGAAACAATCTGGTGTCTAGCAGAGTGCAGAGAGAAGTCTTTATGGAGTGAGTCCTGATCATGAAATGAGATTCACCTGGAGCTGCCTGTGAAGAGAAAGCCACGCCCACCACACTCACACAGGACAACAGACAGGGGAGAGAAACATGAGGATCAGACAGACAGGGAATGACAAACTACACACAAATGGAGAAGGGAGGGCTGCCATGATGTGAACCATTCACTACTTACTCTGAGACAGCAGGTGGCGTTATGCATGGGTAAAAATATAACATGAAAATGAATACGGTATGTTTTTATTTGACCTAAGTTAAAAACAAGTTGTGTTATTTAAGAGGATGTTATTTCATGTTTTTATGAGGAGGCATTATAATGAATAGAATTAAGAGTTCATTCTCCCTCAGGAGACATTTGATGGCCTTTGTAATAAAGCAAAAAATAAAAGTGCACACAATATATCCAAATCAATGTGAACAAATAGGCTGGAAAATGTCTGCATGTCAGATATATCAAGAAGCTGCTTCTAACTTTCAACATTTTTGTTGATTGTGAAAGGTTTTGTATGTACAGTTTGTACTTTACCTGAAAGAAAGACCTCTACAAACACATAACTAACGCTTGATGTTTGTTTTCATAGACGGTGCTGAACTAAGGATTCTGGACTCAGTTCATGTTCTTCACTCGTAGGAGCGATACCTTTAAGTTTTGGTTTCCAGCCTGCTTCCTCTCAAACTGTAGACAACAGGTAAGTGTCTAAACCTCGAGCTGAGTCATACAGAGGAATCACTGTCTATGATATCTGTTACTGTTGAGCACAGGGTCTACATCAGTCCATCTGATCCTCATCAACAAGCAGTCAGAGAGAAACATTTTCATGTATTCTTCAGGCCATACCTGCAGAGGTCAAAGGTCATAAAGCTGCCTGCAGATCACCCAGACTTCAACCTCTGAATCAAAGCAGCTAGGTCAGCAGAAGAACTTCATCCATACAATCCTATGATTCAGTGGTGATCTTATTTTTCTTACTGATTCTCCATTTAAACCCTAAAAGCAGGATTAAATCAATCCTGAAATGTGTTTATCTGTATACAAAACTTAAAATGCAGACATTTATGGAAATTGCTTTTCCATCATTTTCATAAAAATAACAGAGTAAGCATATGTTGTAGTTGAATATTTTGAAATGTGAGCTGAGATCAGATTCTGGTTCCTGTTTTGTAACATGTTGTGTTTTGTCTCTGTTGAGCAGCAGGTGGCAGTGTAGAGTCACTGAGGCTCATTTCAACATATCAATAGTTGAACAGGGTGATATCTTCTTTCACTCATTAGACCTCTTGTATCTTATCATATGTGATAGAAAATAGTTTTATTCTAACAGTGAATTATTTTCAGTCACTTCAGAAGTCATTAATATCAGAGGCTTGGTAGAATAAAGATGTCTCTGATTGGTTCATTGTAACTCTGTAAAAATAAAGATTTGTTTTTATTGTCACTTAAACTGAAGGTTTGTTTAAATGTTGTGAGAACTTTATCATTTGTGTTGATGTCATCTCAACACATGTGAAGTAATGATGAATATATAGTTGAGATAATGTTCAATAATATGACTATAAAGCGATGGTTAATGCTGCTGCTTCTCTAACAGAAGGCCTGGTTGGCGTCCCATTTCCACCATGAATCAAAAAAGAAAAGTTGTTTTGTTTTGAATGAACATAATAAGTCAATTAATCCTCTTAAAATGACCCTGACTCAAATTTTAATAATGATCTCATTGATTTCATACTTCAGAGTACATTTTTAATCAATTTAAGTTCAAAAAACAAAATTCATTCTGCAAAAAGAAATCATTCTATACATTTAATTTTCATGCAGAGAAAATGTCAGTTCAGCTGAACAAAAATCCTCATGAGCAGTAAAGCCTCTGTGACTAAACAGAAACAGCTAAAGAGAGTTATTTAAAGAGACTCAAACATTTACAGAACAAGTGAGAAGATGTCAAAGTACCGCCCATAAAGTTTGATTGACAGGTGAACAATGTAACCACAATCAGCTCTCAGCAAAAACATGAATAATGATCAAGTTGAAGGATTAAAGTTTAACCCACTGTTCTTTAAATGACTTCTGTCTATTTCAGTTTACACAACTCAGCACTACATCCAGAATCAGTCCAAAGTTCAGCATGTAGAGGCTGAGTGAATGTGGTCTGGACTCTGTGGAGGAGAGTCATGGTTTCAGAGATGCTGTAGAAGGACAGAATACCTGCTCTGTGATCCAGGTACACTCCTACTCTGGAGGACTGAGGACCTGAGACAGGAGTGAGGACATTGTTGTTATAAAAGTTATAACTGTTGTTGTCAAATCTAAGGCAAGATTTTCATTGTATCCAAATCACTTCATTCCCAATTCCTGCTCTGCTGATATTCTTGTATGCAACTGCTACACAAACGCTTACTCTCCACTCCAGTCCCAGTAACAACGTCCAGTCAGACTCTCTGGACTCAGGATTTGACACGATGAGTGAATCTGTGTGGGTGACTAGAATAAGACTGTTGTTGACCCGTGTTTGTTACTTTTCTGTTCCCATCAGATAATAACAGCTCTGTGTTTGCTGTGTTTGGATCCAGTGTGATGTCACATGAATATTGTAAGAAGTCAGCTCTGGTCTTGGCTGTGGCTCTGACAGTAAAACATCCACTTCAGTCACTCTCTGTGAGATGTTTGTCCATTTCTCTCTCAGGACGTCCTCTAGTTTATCTCTGACTTCTGACACAGCTGCTGTCACATCCTCAAAGTACCTCAGAGGACGGATATTGATGCTGGATGAGTGTGTAAATTCACAGAGTGGTGACAGTGAGGGGTAGTCGTGTAGAAACTGGTTGTGGTCCTGTGTGTGTGAGAGCTTCTCCAGTTCAGCGTCTCTCCTCTTCAGCTCCGTGATCTCCTGCTCCAGCTTCTCCTGAAGCTCTCTGACTCGACTCACTTCAGTTTGCTGCTGGGATCTGACCTGCTGCTTCACATCAGAGCGTCTTTTCTCCATGAGACGGATCATCTCTGTGAAGATCTTCTCACTGCCCTCCACTGCTTTATCAGCGGAGCCATTGATATCCTCCACCTCCTGTTGAAGCAGCTTCACATCTTTCTCTCTGTCCTGGATTCTCTGCTGGATGTTTTGTCGACTCACCTCCAGCTCTCTCTGCTTCTCGATCCTCGCTGCTACAGCTGGGACTGTGTCGTGGCCTTTATGTTCATCCACAGAGCAGAGATAACAGATAGACTGCTGATCAGTACGACAGAAACTCTTCATCACCTCATCATGACGAGAGCAAAAGTTCTCCTGGAACTTCTTGGAGGGCTCCAGCAGCTTGTGTTTTTCAAATGTAGGTGATTTGTAATGAGGCTGCAGGTGTTTCTCACAGAAATAAGCCAGACATTGCAGACAGAACTTTTGAGCTTTCAGTTTTCTCTCGGTGCAGACATCACAGGCCACATCTTCAGGTCCAGCATAGCAGTGATCAGCAGGAGCAGCTTGGAGTCCAGTCTTCTTCAGCTTCTCCACTAAAACTGCTAACATGGTGTTTTTCACCAGGACAGGCCTCGCTGGGAAGGTCTGCCTACACTGAGGGCAGCTGTAGATTTTCTTCTCCTCCTCTTTATCCCAGTGGTTTTAATACAGTTCATACAGTAGCTATGTCCACAGGGAATAGTCATCGGATCCTTCAGTAGATCCAGACAGATCGAACAAGAGAAGGTTTCCCGGTCCAGCTGAACTCCTTTCTGCGCCATTTCTCCTCTCAGTGACAACAACTGTCTGAGTTTCACTTCCTACTACATTCACCACTGATCTACATATAATGTGTTAGTGCATGTCAGCTCGTGTTGGTTACACCCATCTGCAAACTGTAGATCTAAAGGGGAGGGAACCAGGAAATACTGAGTCAGAGTGGAGCTGGCTGTGAGAGCAGGCAGGAGAGGGAGGGGTTATCAAGCTCTTTGAACCAGGAAGAGGAGCAGCACTGTGAATCTTTAACTTTGTTTCCTCATTCCTATGAAGCCTCGGTTAAATCCTGCTCCACATCTGAAGCATTTGAAGCGTTAAGTTGTTAAATACTTCTTGACTCTTCAGGTCTTTAGTGATGACTTCATATTTAGAAGAAACAACTGAGTGTGCACACATCCAAGCAAAATGCATACAGGTGCAGGAAAAAAAATGATGACCTGTAGAAAACAGAGAGAGAGGTCTGCACATTGTTCAGCTCCCAATGAGTAACTTTATTAAGGGCAGCGTTTGGATCCTTGCCCTTAATACTGTTGCTCATTGGCAGCTGAACAGTGAGTGGACCTGTCTCTTTTATTTATGATGACTTTATATTTCTCAAATTATTTCTAAATTCTGCTCAAATGTATTCTAATGCTTTAAAACAGTTGACTGAGAATAAAGTTATCAAAGTTAAGTCTCAAAAAATGTACTTCATTTAACTATTTCTTTAAGTGTTTTTCAGTCAGGTAATCTAAATAGATCAAACTAAATACTTAATATTTTCATCAAACCATTGAAATATTTGTTGAGAAACTTGTTGATGCTGAAGGTTCACCTGAAAATAAAATCTCTAACCAGAGAGAGTCGCTTCAACAGAAGTTCAAAGTTCACTCATTTTGTGCCATGTGCGTCCAAGAATCACCATCCTCAGTGACGAATGGCGGGCCACCGAGGTGTATGGACCAATCATGGATACAGATACTTTTCTGTTAACCATCTTGGTGGTTTATTGACCCAGTAACAGGCAGCCACACACAGAGTCTGGAGAGAGCAGTGGTCTTATAGAAGGAGATGGTATGGTGACTGAGAGGGACTTGGACAGAGGCCCTGCTAAAAGATCATATCTCACTATTTGAGTGGACCTACTGGCTAGCGAACTGTCACAAAGATGGTCCTTTGGGAATATTAATTAAGGACACAAGGCAATCATAATAAATACTAAATCATTATTTTTCAGTTGTCATGTTCACCCACATCGCTGTTGACATCAGTAAATATAAGACACAGACATTCCTCTTTTTGTCAGAACAGTAACATGAACTGTATGCTTTGTAATATTGATTTCTTCTGGATGTCTCATTTATTTACAGTCTATGGATAAAACTTTGCTAATGTATTGCTCTGCTAACAACGACAAAGTCTAACTGCTCTGACAAATAACTAATAACCATAATTGTATATTTAACAAAGTGTAGTTTTAAGACTTTAATTAAATTTTTGTGTTGAATATAATTCGTTTTAACTGTGTTGTAGAAAAGATAAATGTTAACTTACTGTTTATAGAGTTTTCTCAGGACGAGCAGAAGTAGGGGATGATAGCAGCCTAGCCGTTAGCTATGCTGTCAAGTGGACTGCTAACGTCGAGCTGAATGGGCGGAGCTAAGTCC